GTGGGGGGTGGGGCTGGGAGGGGGCGAGGGGCAATGGGACCCCAGGGTGCAGCGGGGAAGGGGTTGGAAGGCCCTGCTGTGTATAGCGGGACGAGGAGCGGAGAAATAAAGATGTCAGCTGCGCACAGAGGGGCGGGCCAAGGGGGCTTGGGAAAGATAGTTTGGGAAAGGGACTCCAGAGGCCCTGGTGTGTGCGACCGGAAGGGGGAGGGGAAAAAGTGAAGATGGTAGTGACTTATGTGTGAGGGACCCTTAAGTGGGGGATGGGAGATTCAGGAGCCGCAGGGTACTTAGAAAGCAGGCAGCTGAGGGTCCTGGGGACATAGATACAAAGTGCAGACGGCGGGTGGGGGAGTGGGGTGAGGATGTGGGGACCACGAGGTGCTAAGGGTAGGTACAGGCTACAGGAGCCGGACTGAAAAGTGGGGAATTGGGTTAGTGGGGCTCTGGGGATGTACCTGGAGAGGAATTAGAGAGGACACAGATGTCCCTATGTATGGGAAGGACTTACAGTGCACCTGGTTGGGGGTAGAGATCCAGGAGGGCCTGGGAAGCAGAGAAAGGGTCGCTGCGTGGTCCTGGGGTAGGATGTAACCTGAAGTGGGGCTGGGAAGCAGAGGAAGCAAGCGACCCTTCAGAAAACTTCCGAAGGGCCCGGGGCCCGAGCTAAAAGCCAAAAAGATGTAACGATGGGGAAATAGATGTGCATGTTGATTGGCTGTTGTGAGGAAGTGGTAGGATGATGCTGTCTGGTGGGGTCTGAGACTGGGAGGAGGATGCAGCAGGAAGGGCAGGTTGGGGCCCAGGTATGCTCGGTTGGAGGCCACCCAAGGCATCCTGGAACCCGAGTGATCTGTCCTGGAGTCAGAGGTCCTTTTTTGTAGGGACACAGGTTAGTGGGGCAGAGGAGTAGCACTGAGAAGGGGCATGCTTTCCCCAGAAGTGGCAATGTTGATTTCTCTTCCTCCTTGCCTCTCCCAGTTACTGCTCCAGATGCTGCTGCTGCCCCCGCGGCCACCCCACCCTCCGTCCTCCTCTCCGGAGCCCATGGACCCACCGTCCCCCAAGGCTCCCCCTTTCCCCAAGACGGAAGGGCCTTCCTCCACTCCTTCCTCGGTGGCGGGGCCCCGACCTCCACTGCTGGACCGACACCTGCTCATCGACGCCAACGGGGTCCCCTACACATACACGGTGCCGCCGCCTGAGGAGGAGCCCCGGCCCCCACCCCCGCGAGTGTCACCCCCACCAGAGCCCAGTCCTCGAAAGGGCTACAGTTGCCCGGAGTGTGCTCGTGTCTTTGCCAGCCCTCTGCGGCTGCAGAGCCACCGCGTGTCGCACTCGGACCTCAAGCCCTTCACTTGCGGTGCCTGCGGCAAGGCCTTCAAGCGCTCCAGCCACCTGTCCCGGCACCGGGCCACGCACCGCGCCCGTGCGGGCCCACCGCACACCTGCCCACTCTGCCCACGCCGCTTCCAGGACGCGGCAGAGCTGGCGCAGCACATGCGCCTCCACTAAGTCCAGACCTGGCCCTAGGCCTCAGTGTCCGACCCACGCAGCGGCACGACCACACACACTGCCCGACCCTGCTGAGGCTACTGCCTTACCCCAGGCCTCAGTTTTCCTATCTAACCAAAGGGAGAACCGTCATTCCTTCATTCATTCCCTCCCTTTCTCCCTAGTGTGATGTAGATCAAATCGTTGACCCTCCCTGGTCCGGGGAACCAATTGCATCTGGGTTCTAGCCCAGCTGTGGTGTGAGCGCCTTTGCAAATGACTTAACCTTTGTGAGCCCTGGCTTTCTGCTCCGAAGTGGTGAAAAGTTGTCCACATAGATTTGACAAAAGCACGGGCACAGCTCCTTTCTGTACCTTCCCCGTCCACCTATGCCCCTCATCCTTTGCTCAATAAACATTCCACACACTTCACTTTCGGGGCTTTTTTTTTTTTTTTAATGTCTGGGGCAGGAGGTAGCGGGATTGAGGGTGGAACCAGGGCCTTAAGCGCCAGGGAACTTTTATGTCAGTGTGTGTTTCTGGCCGGAGCCGTTCCCCCGAGGGCACAAGCGCTCCGCTCCTTTTCCTCCCCTGTACTCTCTTGTGTGTCTCCTGTTCACCCCCGCTCCCGCAGCTCCCTTAGCGGTGTCGCTGGCTCTTGGGGAACCAGCAGAGGCCCCCTACTCGCCGCTGCCTGCTATTACGGGGTTAGCTCGGGGCCGGTCCGGAGCCGCCCGGACCTGAGAGGCTGCTGCACCAGGTACGGGGGCCGGGAGGTGGCGGGCGGGCTTGGGCCGCGGAGGGGCGGGTCGGACGAGCGGAGACCTGCAGGCGGGGCGGGGCGGGCTGCTCCGCGGGCTCGGAGCGGTCGGTGCCCACAACTGCAGAAGAGGCTGGAGGCCGGACGCGGGTGGACCTCGGGAGAGCTAGGACCTAGAAAGACCTGGGGTGGATGGGCGTGCACTGGAGAAGCTGGAGGTAGCCGGCCAGAGCTGTGCAGGGAGGTGGTCAGCGCGGGACGGGACGGGGCCCCAGGGTGATAGCCCCTTTGAGGCTGAGATGCGTAGAGGGGTAGACAGGGTTTATGGGTAGAGTGTGTAGGGTCAGTGGGCAGGAGAGGAGGGACGAAGAAGCTTGGAAGTACTTTTTAGATGGGGTAGCCAGAGTACAGGGGGCAACTAGTGGCCTGTGGAGGGCAGAGGGCGGGGGGGGGGGGACAGAGCGTCCCAGGTTGTGCCTACAGTGGGTGATAGGGCCGAGGACAGGAGGGGTTTCTTAAGGAGGCAGACTGTAGGAGAGATGGAGGATGCAGTAGTTCTGGGCAGGCCCAAAGAGGGGGGACGGAGCCAAGGGTCTAAGCTTTCCTCCTGTGTAACCTGCCCCTCTCTCCCACCCACCAGGCCTCAGCCACCCTCCGGATGCTGGTGCTGCCGGGCCCCTGTTCCCAGTCCCCAGTGCTGCCCTCCACTGAGGCCATGGAGGACCCTCCCCCTGGGACAGGCCGGTCCCCAGAACCTGGACCTTCCTCCTCCACAGGATCTTCCCAGACCTCGTCCCCTCCGAGGCCCAACCACTACCTGCTCATTGACACCCAGGGTGTCCCATACACCGTGCTGGTGGACGAGGAGGCTCAGAGGCAGCCAGGGACCGATGGGGCTTCGGTTCAGAAAAAGTGCTACAGCTGCCCGGTGTGCTCCCGGGTCTTTGAGTACATGTCTTACCTGCAGCGACACAGCATTACCCACTCTGAGGTGAAGCCTTTTGAGTGCGACACCTGCGGGAAGGCATTCAAGCGGGCCAGCCACTTGGCACGGCACCACTCCATTCACCGGGCCGGTGGTGGGCGGCCCCACGGCTGCCCGCTCTGCCCTCGCCGATTCCGAGAGGCTGGCGAGCTAGCCCAGCACAGCCGGGTTCACTCTGGGGAGCGCCCGTTTCAGTGCCCTCACTGCCCGCGCAGATTTATGGAGCAGAACATGCTGCAGAAGCACACCCGGTGGAAGCATCCGTGAGCTGGGGGTGTGGGGATACCCCGGTACCACGGACCAAGGGGAGCCTGGACTCCTGCCATCCTCAGACAGCCAGAGAGCACCCTAGGCTGAGGCTGGGTAGCCGGGCCCGGGATACAACCACAAACCCACCTGCTTTGGGGGCTGAGCCCTGTGCAAGGAGGAGCACAAGAGTAATCTTCAGGCCCCTGTGTTTTGGAGACAAGACGGGATCAAGACCTCACATTCACAGATGAAGTCCTCTAGTCTCAGTGATATCAGAATTATTCCAGGCTGACCCCTGACTAGGAGGTGCGGGGGACACAGCTGGGTGTGAAATCCTCTGGCCTGGAAAGGTGGTTGGGGGCTGTCAGGAGCCTGCACCATCTTCCTCAGGCCTCCTTGCTGATATTGGGGGGCAGGGGCTCCAGACCTGCCCCCAGCTCCAGCCAGGGACTGAGAGTAGACACCCAATAAACCCATTTTCCACTTCGAGCGCTTGAGGCATTTTTTGGGAATAAGGCTTGGCTCCCCCGCTGGCTGTCCAGCAGGGAGAAGGGGTAAGTGCCTAGCCTGGTGGGCCTCCACTTGCCTGGCTGGGGAAGGCGCTACTCCCTGGTGGTTCTTCAGGGCCTGTGTCCTCTAGGCAGTGTGTTTCTAAACTTATTTTTTAAAACCACGCTCCACTGTAAAACACATTTTATATGGCAACCCAGTGTATATCCCAAATGTGTGTGAAATAACAAATCACCTCTTCCATGTGCAGGTCACTCTATTTATCTACGATTTTTTATATTGCTGATCTCATCCTATTACATTGAATTCTCTTGCCCACGAACCTGTAGTGTGAAAAACACCTGTCTAGGGCAGGTGCTTCCTCTTGGGCGTTCTGACGGACGCTGCCGTTCACCTGTAATGAAAGCGGGTGGGAGTGTGGTCCCAGCTCTACGTCGCAGACCTCTAGGCCCCAGCACGGCAGGGTTCAAGCTGTGCTCGCGGGAGTACTGGCAGAAGTCCCAGAGTATGTGACCTCCGCAGTCAGGCCTCCAGTGACCCGAACCTGAACTCATGGCCAGGCGCCGGACTGCGTGTTGGCCTGTATCACGTCATTGCATTCCCCCCACCCCAACACACACACTTCACAGGTGAGTAAATTGAGGCCGGGGAGAAGTAGCGGCCAGGACCGGGGTCGTGGTCTGAATATGGCAAAACCAGTCCTAGAACACCCACCTGTGCTGATGGTGGGGGATAGGCCCCTATTTTCAGGGAGTGGGTAACTCACTCCACCAAGACCCCGGGAACCGCGGATCTAAGGGGATCCCCTTGAGGGGACCCTCCCCGTGCTTTAACTTCCCTGGCTGCCCTCTACACGTCCGCAAATCCCCCGGCCTCCTCGGTGCGCACACAGCCACCCAGGGAACCCCCGGAGCCCCCGGCTCTCCAGGAGTTGGGAATTTCATGACGCTCCCTGCTCGCGGGGGTGGTGGAGAGCTGCCAGGGGCCATCGCGCAAGTGCGGCCCCGGCCTCCGCCGCACACGACGGGCCTCACCTGGGGCCGGGGCTACTGGAGGAGGCGAGCCGACCGAAGGACCGGGAGAGCATCCCTGTCCGCCCCGAGAATCGCCGTCCCTGACAGCCCGCCCGCCGGTGGGTGCGCGCTTTCCTCCGCTCCCCGACACTTTGCAGACGCTCCCCGGCACCGGGCATGGGCGCCGCTGCAGCGGTCGGTTCCCGGGCCGGATTCCGCTCGTGGGTGGGTGAGCACAGGATCCACGGCCTGGTGCACACCCCACTAGGAACCGTTGCCACCTTCGCTTCCCCCATCCTATCCGCGGGACAAAGGGCGGGGGCGGAACCCACGCGTGACCTTCCCCCACAGTGCGCACGCGCCTAGCCTCCCACCGCGGGGAAGGGGCCATGCTCGCTTACACGAGTGCGGGGGAGGCTGGTGGGTTCCCATGGGTGGGAGAGGCGCCGCGTTTGGGTTGGACCCCCACCCCACGCCTGGAAGTTAAGGGCAGGCTCCCCTTGCATCTCTCGCATCTTTTGACCCCGAGGCGACTCATTCTGGCCAGGATATCCCTCTGTGGACCCCACTGGAACCCGCTTCTTCCCTGGGTACTTGTGCAGCAGCCCAAGAGTTTGGACCCCCAAGGTGTCCTCCTATTAGACCCAGAGGCCCTGGTTCTCAGCAATTCCCCACCCCCCAGTCCTGAGAAGTGTGCCCCACCTCCTGGGATGTCCCTCCATCTGTGGCTGCTCTTTCTGTTCAGTGCTTCTGAGGCGCCCAGCTGCTGGGGTCCGTGGGAGGCTGAACCATGAGTGACCGTAACAGCCGGAGGAGGACACGTGAGGAAGCTGGGACCCTTCCCCCACCCTTGGTCCCACCACTACTCTGCCATCCCTGCCCCCTCCTCCCCAGGGTTGAGGGGACTTCCCTGGGCTGACCCCTCTGCCTCTTCTCTCTAGTGAAGAAAGACGACGAGGCCTTCGAGATCTCTATTCCCTTTGAGGAGACACCCCACCTAGACCCACAGCTCTTTTACAGTCTGAGTCCCTCTCGGGGAAACTTCGATGGTGAGCTGGGGGGGGGGGAGGGAGGCAGGGCACGGAAGCCCTCATGTCAGCTTGGGTGCAGGGCCCTCAGAGCCTGGGTGTGACCAGGGTCCTTGGCTGCCTTAGAGCCTCCAGAGGCTGCGTCCCCGACCATGGCCCTGATGAATGGTGTCAGGGCCCAGCTGCACATGGCCCTGGAGAGGAACTCATGGCTGCAGAAGCGCATCGAGGACCTGGAGGAGGAGAGGGACTTCCTACGGTGTCAGCTGGACAAGTTCATCTCCTCTGCGCGCATGGATGCTGGTGAGGGTGCCCCATGAGCTGGTCAGGTCCACGACCCACTCCTCGGCCCCAGTGCCCAGCTCCAACCCTTCTCGTGCACACACTCGTGCTTTGGTGGCCCAGTGGGGACTGGGCAACTGTACCTTCTGCTTACTCCTGTGGTGTCTCCAGGACTGCTAACCCATCTCCCCTCCTGACTGCTGATCAGCAGGATCCTGTGCCCCATTCCTTTCCCCGTCCGTTAGTCAGGGCTTTCCTTCGCCAGACATTTAGCTGTGCTTTGGTGAGCCCCACCTGCATGCTCCATCCCTTGGTGCTCAGCCCCCTGGCTGGCTCCCTTTCATGCTCCCACATTCCTCTGTGAATTCCTCCAAAAGGCTGGGCAAGGGGCCCATTTTATTCCCCAGTTGGGTGTTGGGGACCCCTGTGCTCCAGAACCACCTCTAGATGTCCAGAGTGCATTATCCTGGAGGTCCAACTAGGTCCCCAGGAAAATCCTCCTCTACTGTGGGAACCCGTTAGACTTCTCCAGGGTCCCCAGTCCACTGTAGGATGTCCCCCAGACCTCTTGCCACCAAATTTTGGAATCAGCTGAATGTCCTCACCCGAGCCCTACCTATCTTCACTTCTACTCCCAAATCCCAGCTGATTGCCATGTATTCAGCCATCTGCACAGGGACCTCCACATCTATACAGCATTTCTGGTCCTTCATGGGGACCTGTGTGTTGTCACAGCCACCCCCACTTTGCAGACGGGTCTCTTGCTTCCTCCTCACTCCTGTTCCCACAGTTCACACGTTTCTCTCCCCCTATCTCTCTCCAGAGGACCACTGCAGGGTGAAGCCTGGGCCCCGGCGAGCTGAGGGCGATGGCCGGGGTGGGGCTGCAGGTGAGGCCTCTGACCCTGAGTCTGCTGCCTCCTCGCTCAGCGGGGTGTCTGAAGAAGGCAGTACCATGGAGAGGAAGAGGCAGAAGCAGAAGGGAGGCGCTGGCAGGAGGCGCTTTGGGAAGCCCAAGGCCCGGGAGAGGCAGCGGGGTGAGGGAAAGGCGCAATGAGAGGGGTCTGGGTGGGTACTCCCTGTGTCATCTCTCCTCCCCACCTGTCACTGACTGCACCTACTGGTGGCTCCCAGCCTCCACGTCCACCCTCCCCAGGCTGCCCGAGCCTCAGTAACAGAGGATGGTGGCTCAGGCCTGCTGGGAACCCATCCCTCTGAACTGCTGTCGGGCTCCTTTTTCCTGCTCATTTTCTCCTGGGGTCTTCCTCTGATTTTCCCCTCCGCCAAGTTCTACCTCTGTTTCTCCCACCCGCTCTCTTTTCACCTGCTTTTCCTCCTTGTTCCCATTTTGTTGGCCGTTCCTGTATGGGGCTCCTCACTCATATTTTCCTCCATTCCTTTGCTCGGTAGGCCCTTGACCCCGTATGTCTGTTGTCCCACTTATCCCCCACATCTCTTTGCCTTCTGCTTCATGTCTGTTTCTCTATTCCCCCCTCCTTGGCCCTGCAGTGAAGGACGCTGACGGTGTCCTCTGCCGCTACAAGAAGATCCTGGGCACCTTCCAAAAGCTGAAGAGCATGTCGCGGGCCTTTGAACACCACCGCGTGGACCGCAACACTGTGGCGCTGACCACTCCCATTGCGGAGCTGCTCATCGTAGCCCCCGAGAAGCTGGCGGAGGTGGGCGAGTTCGACCCCTCCAAGGAGCGTCTGCTTGAGTACTCCCGCCGCTGCTTCCTGGCCCTGGATGATGAGACCCTCAAGAAGGTGCAAGCCCTCAAGAAGAGCAAGTTGCTGCTTCCCATCACCTACCGCTTCAAGCGGTGATCCCGCTCCACCTGGCTCCGGACACGCCATCCAGCCCCCGCTCCGCTTCCCTCCCATCCCCTGCCTGGCACGCAGAGAGCGTGCGCACGAGTGGGGTGCCCCTCGGCAGGGCTTGGGAGTGGGTAGCGTCCTTCTGTGTGTGCCTCCCCACCCTCCTGCAGACGCCCACTCCCGCCCCAGGCCCCTTGTATATACAATAGATCTGCTCTCCTTCCAACCCACTTTCCCAGCATCCTTCCCATTCCCACGGTTGGGAGGGTCTCACTTAACCAAGTTCCCAGGGACCTGGTAAACACTGGCACCCCTCCTGCCCTCACTGGGCCCTTCGTCCAGGGAAAAGGGCGGGACTCTGAGGGGCGGGCACACTGTACATACCCCGCCTCTGCCCCCAGCCCCGAGGACACGCACTCTGGACCTTCCCCAACTCCATATGAGACAGAGAATTATTCAGAGAATTTAAATTAAAAAAGATGATAAAATTTGGAATAAACTAGGCTCCAGCCTCTTCCTGGGAAGGGGGTGGCCGTTGCCACGGCGACGATGGCGGGACCTTGAAGGGCTCCAGGGAGCGGGCGGTCAGGCGGGAAACGGGGAGGTTGGGGAGGCAGGGTGTAATTAACCCCCGGAGGCAGCGGAGGGAGGGAGAGAAGCAGCTGTATCTCCGGAGCTCGCAGGGGCGGAACCCTGGGAAAGGGGCGTGAACACTAACTGCTGGGCCATTTGGACAAGAGGCGGGGCGGCAGCAAGGGGCATTCGGTGACCTACAGAGGCGGCGGCCACTGGCGAAACAGGGGGTAACGCTAAGGTTTCCGCCCGCCAGGAGGCAGTAATGAGAAATTTTCGGTCTCCTGGAAGCGACCTCTAAGTTGCCTGCTGCGCTGGCGCGGCCGGAGGAAAAGAGCGCTTACGTGGTTGCTACGGCAACCAGGAGACGGCAACTTCGCTTAACCACAGGGAAATTCAGAACTTTGGCTGGAGGAAGGGAAAACATCTCGCGCTAACGCACGCGCACTAGGGTCTCTAGAACCCGTCCCCTTCCCGGAGCAGCCAGAAACCTCGCCACAAGACCGACCTCTACGCAGGCGCAAAAAACCATCTCGCGTCCCAACGCTTCCAACCTGCGCAGGCGCACATAGCCGCGCTGTCAACCTCCGCAGCGGCCGCGCGCCCCCTTCATTCCCGCTGGCTGCTTTTGTCTCGCGCAACCTTCTTAGGCCTTCTACGAGGTCGGTCTTTCTACACTCTCCCCACCGGGAGAGCCAGGTGGGAACCGGGACCCCCGCCCCTTCCCCGTATCCCTTCCCTCGACCCACCTCGTCTCCGTCCTCCCTCCCTTTTCGGTTCCTGACGCCGGAAGGAGCCGAAGCCCCAACGGAAAAAGCCGAAGCCTTCTCCGTGAGCGAGGCCTTCCCGAAGCGTTGGCGGAAGGAGCCGAAGTTGCGAGAGGAAAGGAGTGAGCGAGTGGAATCTCCGGAAACAACCGAAGCTTGGAATCGAGGTTAATCTCTGGCTGATTCCGAGGGCGAGCTCCAGAAGTCTTCGGGAAGTGCTTGAATCCCGGGACGGTTAGGCTTGTCGGAAGTAGTGGATTTTTCGGACAAGGCCAGCGGAGTAGAGTGGGGAACCCCTGAGGAGCGGCCAAAGACGAGCCATTTGAACCGTCGGAAGAAGCCGAACCCTTGGCGGGGTTGCCGCTGGGCGCAGTGGAAGGCGAGGGTCTACGGAAACACCCGAACGTTGAAGAGATCGTTTCCGAAAAGTTACGACAACCTGGGAACCTGGCAAAAATCCTCGCTTCGGGTGTTTTCGGAATAAGCCAAAGCTGCTGTGCCCAACTTCTTACTCTACTGTCCGGAAATAGCTGACGCACTTCGGGACCTGGCTCTGGGGAAGGGGCACCTCGCGGGCGGGCGGTCCGGGAGAGGGGCGGAACCGGGGCGGGGCGGGCGGCCGGTGCTCTATTAGACAGGGGGCGGTGGCGCGTCGGAGGCGGCCGGAAGTAGCCGAAGCAAGCGGCGGAAGTAGCCGAAGCGGCCGGAGCGGGCGGGCGGCAAGGCGAGGTGAGAGCTGCACAGGGCCCTACGCGGCCGCTTCAGCATGTCGGATTTCGACGAGTTCGAGCGGCAGCTCAACGAGAATAAACAAGGTGAGGACGCCGGGGACTCGGGGCGGCGAGCAGGGCGGCTCCTGGATTTCCTCCGTGGCCCCCCGCCATTTTCCCCCTCGCTTCCCCTCCTCTCGGGGCCGCGCGGCCGCCCTCCCCCACCGTCTCGCGGCGCGCGCCTCCCTCACGTGACTGCCCGGCGTGCCTCCGTGCGCGGGAGGGGAGGGGGCGGCAGGCGCGGGCCGGCACGCATGCGCGCCGCGTTTCGTTCTGCTCACCCACCCCACTTGGTCTCTAGTGGAGGCGGTGCGACAGTAAAGGCCCGGCAGCGCATGCCGCGTGTCATTTCGCGCATTCTTATTTTTACTCACCGGAGGAGAATATATACATATGCTTGCGTATAGGCATAGATCGGATCTGGCCATTCTCCCCGTTTCTCCCGCTGCCTCGGTACTTCCGTTTCCGGCCGGGTCCGCGGCCCAGGTCTCCACGCCCCCTTTGTTCCAAAATGGCGGTTGCGACCCCCCCCCCCCCGGCTTCACGTGGGCGAGGTAGTGGCGTGCGTGGTCCGGCTGTCCCCGCGAGGCTGCCACGTGCGTCGTGTCCTGTGGCTTTCTCGCGCGGGATCCTCGTTGGTTATGAGGGCCCTTGGGTTGCCACATGTGACTTGGGATCATTCATGAAAGTCGGGACCGTTGTGCGTTCTCCGGATGGACCCAGTTCTACGCCATGCACACTAGCAGGCAGTGACGGCAGCGGCCGTGATGGCAGCGGGGAGTCTTTGTCCCCCACCTGCCCCACCCCAGAGACAAATCTCATGTCTTCTCCTGTCTCAAAGCTGGGGCTAATTGAGATGTAAATCATCTCAGCGTAGAGATGGGGAGACTGAAGTCCTCAAAGACTAGGGGCTCTGGTCCAGCTGGGTACCGTAGAGAAGAGTGGGCAGTAGGGGCTCTCCACGGGGCCCATCAACTTAGTCCAAGAATTTTGGAATTGGGAGAGCCGATAGACGTTCAGGAAGTTTTGTTTCGCTATTTCGGTTTGGATGCAGAGAATTTAGAAGTAGGGAAGGTGGGAAACTCGAGGCCTGCATTGGCCGTGTGTTTGAAGGGCTGAGTGAGGGACACCAGAGTTCTCCTTTGAACACAGCTCGGAGTTGAGGATCGGGTGGCTGCGTGAGGAGACAGTGCCTGGGGAAGAAGGCCTGTTTGCTGAGCGCCCAGGGCTGTCTTTTTGTGCATGAAATAGAGATACCTGGGTTCAGACGGCTACTCTGTTGCTTACCAGTGCTACTTCAGTATCTTCGTGCCTGTTTGTTTTCAGGCGCGGAATTGGCCGTTCTTGTCAGGGGCTTCTGGAATTAACAAGGCTGGTAGTAACGGCAGGTAAATTAGACTGAGGGCCTGCCCGTGCTAGGCACTGTGCCAGTAGGCTTGTTGCACAGGTTTTCTAAGTGGACGACCCCTACAACCGACAGTGGGGCTGAAATGACTTTCTTCGTTTTGTAAAGGAGGAAACAGACTCAGAAGGTTTAAAAACTTTCCCAGGCCTGGTCAGAGGCAGAGCTGAGATTAAAATGGGGTAACATAGGCAAAGTGTGTGGCTTGTGGGTTGGCACACGTTAGGTGCCCAGTAAGTGGTATTTTTTATTGTGAAGTTGTCCATATTATAATGTCATGCTGAGGGGAATAGAATTAGGTCTTCAGCTCACTCAGTTGGCGTCACAGTCGGGGAAGGTGCTTTAGGAACATCCTTCTGCCAAGTCCTCACACTCTACACTGTGGGTGCCGCTGGAAGTGACCCTTATTTGGAGGGGAGAAAACCGAGTTCTTAAGGGTTAGTTTTTCATGCTGGTTTCATGTGGTTGGTAAGCAGGAGAGGTGACACCGAGTGGTGGCTCTGGCTGGCTGCAAGGCCCACTCCACTATGCTGCCCGCCTGCAGAGCCTGGGTGAGCCCTTCCTGGAGGCTCTTGTCCACGTGCTGCCTTGATTTGTGGCCTTCTGTTCTCCCACGTCCCCTTGGGTTGGCCACAACATTGTGAGCACCTGACACTCCCTCTGTGCCCAGGATGGGGGTGGGGAGGACTCAGTTAGGGGAAGCCACCCACGTGTCGCCCTGCCTGTCGGGTGGTCTGTGGGTCTTTGTGAGCTGGCCTCCTCCCGACTTGACCCTGCCTGGTGCACCTGTGTCTGTTAGAGAACCGAGTTCCTGGTGTGCACGTCCCAGCGGGCACCACTGCTTCCTCTGTTTGAGAGCCTCAGCAGCAGGAAAGACCCGAGGGGCGCTCACGCTCCCGGGTGCTTACCTGGCCATTCCTTTGACACTCCCCTGGTGTTTCCTGTCTTCCTTATTCTCTTGCCTTCAAGGGCATAATCCCTTTGTCGTTAGTGGCTCCACCCAGATGCTGGAGTGGGGAGTGTGGGCTGCCGCTTAACTGAGCTTGTGGACATGACAGGGTTCATGTCCAGGCCTTGCCACTTCCTTGCTTTTTAAGGTCTTTGGGCCAGACGTGCGAGTGCCCCGAGCCTCGGTTTCTCTGTTACTTGGGCTGCCAGCAGGGTTTCCCCAGAGCAGTAGTAAAAACGAAGTGCCCGTGAGATATGTAGCACAGGTTCCGGGTTTAGGAGGCATTCTGCTATTTGCTGCTGTGTCTTTTCCCTGTCTTAGGGACATATTTTTCTGAGTTTGTGTGACTCGGCAGTTCAGGTGTATATGTAATTACTGGGGTTATACCAGAAAAAATGAAGACAGGACACTGTGGATGAGGCTAACGTCCACTTTGGAGGCCCTCTCCTTACTGCCTCTTCTGCTCTCCTGTCCCCAGGAGTGTGGTGAAGCTCACCAGTGCACCGGCAGGGGCCTGATGGTTAGTTGAGGAATCGGGGTCTTTGAGCCCAGGAACTTGGGTGGAGCGCTGTGCTCGAGCTCCCTGTGCACACGGTTCAGCCTGCACCTTTTCTGAGGCAGCGGTGAGGCCTGTAGGGAGCAGTTTCTGTGGCCTTGCTGGGAGGGCAGAGTTCTTTGCCGCCTCCGGGGCCTTCGGAGAAAGCGGCCCAGCCCCTCGAGCAGTGTGGAGTTGGCTTTGAGGCAGGATGGGGTGGTCTGGGATTCAGGTCTGCCTGGGGCAGAAGGAGGGGCCTCGGGGAGGGCGTCCTGGTTGGGGCCTCACCCTGGGCCCCATGGTGGGGCTGTGGGTGCATCTGGTGATTGAGGACGTCTTTCCTGAGGGGCCGCAGGTCCCTTCAGGAAAACATCATTGGGTCTCTTGGTTCCCCAGCCTCTAGCCCTGCCCCTCTCAGGGACGACCCTGGGGTCAGGCCCCTCAGCCCTGGAGGGGGACCAGGAGCCAGCCTCCTCTGTCTTCTCTGGCT